CCTTGAAGAGCCACCGGCCTTCGACTACGTTCACCCAAGGTGGGGGAACTGCGTCGACGTAGGTGCCGGTGGATCTCCAAGATGCCATCTCCTTCACCATGGTAGCTATCCACTGTGAGGCCCAGGGTCCCTAGGTCGCTTCAGCGTAAGTGCGAGGGGTCGGGATGTCGAAGGAGGCTAGGTCACCCTCAGGGACTAGTAGTGTGGAACAGAGATGGGGAGCAGCCTCAGACAGGAAAGCAAGCTCGTACTCCCTGTCCTCTAGGACATCACTGCAAAGAGCAGGCGCACCCCGGAGGGACAGAGGGTAGACAGGGTCAGAGACCAGAGCGGTGGCGTAGTCATGGCGGCGAGTCGAGGCGAAGGCAGCGACAGCAGCGACAAGAGCATCAAGACTCGAGACAAGAACAGACGGGTCGGTATCGAGGAACAAGAGGACGAGCAGCACAAAGGTATTCAAACAGAGGGGGAGGAGCAACAGCGAGAGACGACGGAGGAGGCGACGGGTGGAGGGGAGGACGAGACGCGTGGGAACGAAGCAACATAGGGTGAAAACACTGAACAAGAGAGACAGGACGAGCACGAGAGGGACGGCGAGACCAGGCATGAGACGGAGGCATCTGGTCAGGAGATAGAGTAGGAGACACAAGAGGGGAACGAGGGGAAAACGAGCCGGAGACGAGTCCGGAGGAGGGAACATAGGGCCGTAGATAGGAAGGGGAGGAGGCGTCGGGGAAGGCGCAGGCGAGCGGTCAGGGGAGGGAAGGCCGAGCAGGCGAAGGGCGGACACCGACGACGACTGCTGCTGCTGCTGCTCGACGCCGACACAAGGACCGCCAGCTGTACCACTGCCACTTCCGTAACACTCCTCTCTAGCACCCCCAGAACGAGCACCCCCAGAGCGAGAACTTTCTACAGCACTGGTGCCACCCCTAGGCCCCCCGGGACAAGCCACGACAGGAACCCCAGGACCAGCACCCTCCTCAACGCTAGCATCCCTAGAGTCCACGAACGGCTGCTGCTGCTGCTGCGGCGGCGGCGGCTGCTGCGGCAGCTGCGATGACGGCTGCGGCGGCTGCTGCGACGGTGGAGGAGGAGACACTGGGGGAGAGGTAGATGGCGAGAACTGCACTGCGGGGCCACCAAAGTCAGCCGACTCCTCGACCGGGACAACCCACGGGAGGGGAGTGACGTGAGACACACCAAACGAAGCAAGACAGGGAGGGGCTACCGGGGGAGTGGGAACCAAAAACAGGGGATGGGAAACCGGGAGACCTCGGTGGGGAAAGCAGTGGTAAAAGGAGACAGACTTGTCGAAAGTAGCGTCACGGGAGTGAAAGAAGCGGTGAGACGGGCGGGTGGTAAAAGTGCCAGTCAGACGAGTTAAGGGGGAAACCGAGGAAGTCATTGGGGATACTGCGGGAAGTGAGCTTGTCCGTGTCGGAGGAATGAACGTGAGCGAGGCAGCCCCAGACGTGCAACGCAACCGCGTCACCAGGGAACCCGATCCAAAGAAGGGTCGGCGAAACCTCCGGCCGCTGGGAGCGCAGCCACAGGTTAAGCTGGTGAGCGGCGTAGCAAACGGTGAATGGCCACAAAAAATGGGGTGCACTGGCATGGATCATGGAGGTACCAGCCACCTCCATGACCAAACCGATGCATTGCTCAGCGACCCCATTCTGCTGCGGGGAGTCCGGTAGGGTGTACGACTGGGTGATGCCCTCCGCACGACAGAACTGTCCAAGCCGACCAGAGGCGAACTCGCCGCCACGGTCAGAGTGGAGACACAGCACAGGGAGACCGCGGTGAAGGCGCGCAGCTACGACCCACGAGATAAGAAGGTCATGCACGTCGGCCTTCCTCTCCAGGGGAAACACCGTGGTGTAGCGCGTGTAGTCGTCAACGAGCACTAGAATGTAGCGCTCGCGACGAGGTCCGGGGACGGGGGCTGGGCCCCAAACGTCCAGGTGCAGGGTCTGGAGGGGTGCGATGGCAGGGCGAAGCGAGGAGGACTGAGGAGCATGGCACAGCCGGCCCTCAACGCAGGGCGTGCACGGCGGCGCAGGCAAGGGAGGGAGGGCAGGAAGCGATGTAGGGAGACCTAGGACGAGACCGTGCTGGGACAAGTGACGCAGACGCTGGAGTGCGGGGTGACCTAAGCGGTGGTGCCACAGAAGCGACGGGTTAGTGAGCGACCGACACAAGCAAGCAGCGGCGACGTGGGTAGACGCACGGCCCGGGGAGGACGCCCCAGCCGGGGGGGAAGCAGTGTCCAGTGTAAACAAGCCAGACACCGGGTCCCGGGGGAACGTCGCAAGGGGGGAACCTGAGGCGGCCTCGGTACAGACAGGTGCTACGCCTAAGCTAGAGGACACAAAATAATAAGATCCGGACACACTAGAAGCGTCAGCATACAGAGAATGCAGGGCATAACTAATCTGATCCATGTCTAAGTCAAAAACAGGCACATCGTGGCGCAACAGACTGGGCCAGTCAGGGAGGTCCAGCGCCGGGCCGAAGCGGCGACGGAAGAGGTCGTCGAGGCGGCGGAAGCTGCGGGCGATCGGGTGCGGGCGACGGCACACATTGCCACGGAGGGGCCCTGTCTAAAGCTGGTACTGGCAGCTCATAGCACCAAATCCGCCGGTAGAAGCCGAGCTGCGAGGGCTGCCACCGCGGCCACCATCTCTTGGGGCTCCTGGCCACCCCGGCGGGAGGCGGGCCAACGGCTGCTGCTGCTGCTATGACTGCTGCTACCGCGTCTATTGCGACTGCTACTGCTCCTGGACACCAGCTCCAACTCCCTCGTTAGAACCACTATCCCTGCCACCACCACTACCACCACCAGCACCACCACCACGCCCTCCCTTAGGGCCGCGGTGGCCCTGACGCTGGCGCTGCTGCGGGAAGGCCGCAACTGCAGTCTCAGTGGCAGGGGCAGCCATAGCAACCGTGGTGGAGAAGTCAGCATACGTGCACTGGGATGGAGCACAGCCCTGAAAGATAGGGACTGCCACAACACCGCTCGACTGTGCGATAGTGCACTGGCGAGTCTCTATCTCAGACAGGGCAGTGACAAAGGCGGTCATGGTGAGGTTGCCAGGGTGTTGGCTAAGGAAGTGGTCGCAGGCAGTGGCTAAGCGGTCAAGCAGACGCATTGCAATAAGGTACTGGGTAGCGCAGAACGGTGCGGGGAATGCAGTGAGCTGGGCGTCAGTGCTAGCAGCGCGGTAGCTAGTCTCTAGTGCACGGAGGTGAGTGGCGAGGTCAGCGACAGTGGGGAAAGCAGATAGATCGGGGAATAGTATGGGGAGGATCAAGCGACCAGCGGAGGCGGAGGCAAGGGTGGATTTGCGCGCAACGACTGCATCTAGGAAGTCCTTGGCGTTCGCGACAGCAAAGAAGAGCAGACGCTCAGACAAGGAAAGCGCATGACTAATGGCTAGCTGCGCTACATCATCGCGAGAATCCCAGACAGCGCGAGCGAGCGCAGCAGCAGAGAAGGCCTCACACTCGGCAGGGAGGGGGTCAGGCACGGAGGGGCGGGGAAGCAAGCCATCAACATGCATAGCCAGAGAGTGCCCATCCTGGCGCTGACCTGTCAGGTGCCGGCGAAGATCGACAAGCTAGGCGGCGAAGTCAATCACGTGCCCCTCCGCGTCCAGGTGAAGTACAGCGTCCGTCATCGTGCAACCTCAGCGGCGCAGGTCCATGGCGGCATAGCATTACGGCGGCACAGTGACACAGGGACACGGCAGCACAGCGGCACAGGGACTCAGCAGCACAGTGGCACAATGGCGTGGCGGCAGGACTCTCCGGCGGGAAAACCAGGCAAAAGGCCAAGGAGGGCCCGAGGTGCGCAGGGCCCGAAGCGCGCAAAGCCGGCAAGGCGCAAAGGGCCGGCGAGGCGTGGAGGGGCCGGCGAGGTAGGCGAGGAGCCGACGGGCGCGCGAGGGGTCGGCGAGCGAGAAGGGCTGGCGAGGCGCGCGAGGGGCCGGGAGGTACGCAAGGGGCCTGCGAGCACGCAAGGGGCCGGCTATGCGTGAGGGGCCAGCTAGGCGCGAGGGGCCGGCGGGGCGCTAAGTGGCCAGCATGGCGCGCAGGGGGGCCGGCGTGGTACGCGAGGGGCCGGTGCGGCGCGGAAGGGGCGGCGGGCACGCGAGGAGCCGGCGAGGTGCGCGAGGGGCTGGCGGGTATGCTAGGGGCCGGCGGGTACGCGAGGGGCCGACGGTATGCTAGGGGCCGGCGAGTACGCGAGGGGCCGGCTAGGCACGAGGCGCCGGCTAGGCGCGAGGGGTCGGCGGGTACGCTAGGGGCTGGCGGGTACGCGAGGGGCCGGCGGTACGCTAGGGGCCGGCGGGTACGCTAGGGGCCGGCGGTACGCTAGGGGCCAGTGGGTACGCGAGGGGCCGGTGGTCGCGCTAGGGGCCGGTGGACGTGCTAGGGGACAGCGGATGCGCTAGGGACCGGCGGGGCGGTAGGCAAGGGCGAGGGGCGAAAGCGGGTGGGCGGACCTAACCTACTATGATACCATGTTAGAATACAAGAATGACTAGAAACAAGTGAGAACAAGGGAGATATAGGGTTGGAGTTGTACCCTCTAAGAACACACACCTATCTAGCCAATAACTTATAAGTTGACAGTAATTTGGGTAAACTTTACGTAAATACCTTAAAATGCGCCTGGAGGCTCGGAAAAATATCGCGCCAGCCACAATGATGACGAAATCGGGCTGGCGCGAGGGGGAAAACATTCCGATTTGGGTGGGGGCTACTTCTACTGACCATTCGTGGAACTTTTCCCTGCAGATACTGACTGATAGTGGTACTGGACTGATGAATCATGTTGCGAACTCACTACTAACTCTACTGGACTGATGAATCATGTTGCGAACTCACTAACTCTGATTGTTGATATCGTGGCACTGACCGTACATGTTATCGGGGCCCCTAATACTGAGCGCCGATATACTTTCCCGTCTAAGTGTAATATCAGGGGATGCATAAATGGTAACTTTGTCGAGTATACTTCTATATTAAATAGAAATAAGCATTCAATGCTGCACTATGTACACAAGGAGAAGTCAAGCAATAAATTTCCTATGAGGTATATGCTGCCAAATTAATGCACATTAGACAGACAATAGGAGCACGGCATCAAGGTCATGCGTGCGTGTGATGTTCCATCACAGATCCTTGGTTTGTCCTCAGATCCCCCTTGCAGGATCAAAGCTGTAGCAGTCGCTTGGTGGCCTCGGCCCTGCAGCGAGGGAGAGAGAGAGTGTGCGCAAGAGAAAGGGCAGAATTAGGAAGGGATCAACGGAGGAGAGTGAGGGGTGGAGGAGAGAAAGATGGAGAGCCAAAGAAAAGGGGGGTTGAAACGAAAGGGGTGGGGGGGTTTTGGGGTAGATCAGCCCTCTTTGTTTTATCCGACGTGCATCAAACACAAAAACCAGTGCACAGACTCAAGGCCACAGCAGCTGTACTCACGTGGTCATTCAAGCACTGTCGATCCGAACAACCAGCCCCGCCCCGCCAGCAGAGCAAAGCAGACAGCAGGAAACAAATCCGCTCCCTCTCTTCTCGTCTCCCTCCTCGCTTCATTTTAAGCATGCTTGGAACAAAACAAGGTCCGAATGCAGCAGGAAGCAGTCCGACACCAGTCCACCCACCTGCACGCTCGTGCAATGTCGTCCCGATCCAACAGCCCCACCAGCAGCAGATCACTCCCTCTCTCCTCCCACTCCTCGCCTTCCTCACTCTCCTCTCTTCATTTCATTGGCCTTGATTCGAAATGTAGTGCGCACAAAACAGAGCAAACAGGTAGCACCCACCTGCACGCTCGTGCAATGTCATCCCGATCCAGCAGCCCCACCAGCAGCAGACCACTTCCTCTCTCCTCCCCCCCCTCCTCCCTCCTCCTCCCCTTCTCCACCCTCCCCATCCCCCCTCTCTCCCCATCCTCCAACACCCCGTCCTCCTCCTCTCCCTCTACCCCACCCTCACCCCATTCCTCCTGCTTCCCCTCCCCTCTCCCCCCTTCTCCCCCTCTCCCCTCCACTCTCACCACCACTGGCAGCTGTCTTATCCCTCTGGCCGTCAGTCTCCTCCTGGCCTCGTAGAGAGAGGCAGCAGGAGAGATCGTCTCCAGCTGAGTCCACGGGGTGCACAGCACCGACACTGGTAGCGCCTCCACCGCCCCCTTAACTGCCACATCGCCTTCACTCACCCTTCCTGCAGCACCACTGATACCATCCCCCCTAACCCCACCATCAACCCCACCCCCACCCTGCGCACCACTATCACTACCGTCACTCTCTCCTGCACTCTCTCCTCCTGCTCTCCTCCTCCCTCCTCTCCCTCCTCTCCCTCCTCGCCTCCTCTCCGCCACCACCCTTCTCTCCACCTCTTGTTGCACATCCACCAGGGTTACCAGCCCTTCCAGGCACCCCCCCTCCCCCACCACCACGCAGCACCACTGCCGGCTCGCCACCATCGCTGCTACAGCCTGACCCACCGTGCTAGGCCGGGACACCACCTCGGTTGCAGCGGCCCAACGACTGGCTGAAGCCTCTGCAGGTGCAGAAACAGCAGCCACAGAAGCAGCAGCGGCAGCAGCAGCAGGAGAAGCAGGAGTTGCAGGAGCAGGAGCAGAAGAATCCGCTTCTGCAGACCCTGAATCTGAACCTGGCTGCTGCTTCTGAGGCACCAACCGAGGCTGTGACCGCACCGGCACGCGTGGCCGCACAGCCATGAGCGGCACGGCAGCAACAGAGGGGCTGGAGGCAGGGCGCATGGCGGCAGCAACTGTCATCTCCCGCTGCACCTGCTCCTCTAGGAGCACCCCGTCTCGTATGTCCAACGACGCTATGTCGTCGATAAAGTCCCCCGGGGTGGAGATGGCAAGGGGGAGAGGGGTGGGGAGGGGCGCCTGGGGAGAGGCAGGAGGGGAGTCATCGGAGTCTGCAGCAGCAGAAGCAGAGATGGAGGAGGAGGATGAGGGTGATGGAGAGGACTTTGAGGCGGGCCGAGGGGGTTGTTGTTGCGATGCTGTAGTAGGGGTGGGGAGGTCTGTGCTTGCGGCAGAAGCACTGGCTGCTGTGGTGGTTGCTGCGGCTGTAGCTGTAGCTGTTGGTGTTGTGGTGGTAGGAGCAGCGATCCAAGCGGCGATGCCCACAGCAGCCATGAGGGGCAGGATGATGCGGTAGTCCCTGGTGAGCTCAAAGAGGAGGAGGACTGACGTGAGAGGTACTTGGCATACCCCAGCTAGTGTTGCTGCCATGCCCACCTGAATCCAAAGGGGTGAAAGCAGGAAAGGGCGCGGAGGGAGAGAGGGGGAGAGGCGTCTGGCACACCCCTGCTAGTGTTTCTGGGCAGACACCTCTCAGGGCAGCCATGAGGGGCAGGATGACGCGGCAGTCTTGTGTGAGCTCAAAGAGGAGGAGAACTGATCTGAGAGGCGTCTGGCACACCCCTGCTAGTGTTTCTGCAACGCCCACCTGGATGGCGAGGGGTGTAAAAAAAGAGGGGAGGGAGAAGGGGGGAAGCAGAAAGTCAGGGGAGAGAGGGCAGGGCAGGCATGAGGGCAGGAAGACGCAGAAACATGCAGTGGTCTTGGGTGAGCTCAAAGAGGAGGACCGATGTGTGAGAGGCACCTGGCACACCCCTGCTAGTGTTTCTGCCATGCCCAACTGCTCCATCCCCCACCACGCACTGTTCTCAATTCACCCACCCTGGCACAGGCCGGTGGAGCGGCCGCATTGGTGCATGCCTCGTACTCTATGCACAATCCACACCACTTGACTTCAAAGCTCATTCCAATTTCCACCCACCATCGCATAGGCTGGCGGAGCCGCCACTTGGATCCGCCTGGCTCAACTGTCACCCCCCCAGCACACCAGTGCCCAGCCACCCATCGCTCTCAACCCCTAAAGGAAAAGAAGCTCTTCATCTCATGCAGCACTAAAACGCACCATACAAGCTCACCATGGCATGCTTTTAAGGCGCCTAAAAAAAAAAACCATATAAGCTCACCATGGCATACGCCTGTGGAGCAGCCACTTGGATCCACTGCAGGCTGTACTCAGGGTCAACCGCCAGCAGCACGTCACTGGCCAGCCGCCCATACGCCTGCCCCAGTGCCGCCCCAATGAAGAGAGACGGTGCGTAGAAGCCGCCCACCAAGCCCGACCCGCGGCAAATAGCGGTCGCCACCACCTTGAGCACCACCAGCTCGACCAAAAAGTCGACCTATGAGAGGGGGAGGGAAGAAAGGGAGTGGTCATGTAGGCAGGCAGGCGCCAACGGTGCGTAGCAGCTGCCTACTACGCGTGAACTACAGCAGAACGTGGTTTCCTGCCAATACCTTGAGAGTGCCACCAGCTCAAGCAAAAAGTTGACCCGGGAGAGGGGGAGGGACAACGGGAGTGGTCACAAACAAGAGCCACCCATGCGCCTGCCCCAGTGCCGCCCCGATGAAGAGAGAGAGATGGCGTGTAGAAAGTTCCCAGTAGACCAGAACCTGGGAAATTAGCTGCTACATAGCACGGTCTCTCAGAGAGCCACTAGCTCTGGGAGGAGGTCCATGTGATGGTAGTGTCGTTTGAGTCGCCTCGCAACGACCCTTCTATCACCCACTAGACTAGAACCTCGGCAATAGCAGCAAGCCCATCTGACAGGAAAATAGCAGCAAGCCCATCTGACAGGCAAATAGCAGCAAGCCCATCTGACAGGTAAATAGCAGCAAGCCCATCTGACAGGCAAATAGCAGCAAGCCCATCTGGCAGGCAAATAGCAGCAAGCCCATCTGGCAGGCAAATAGCAGCAAGCCCATCTGACAGGCAAATAGCAGCAAGCCCATCAGACAGGCAAATAGCAGCAAGCCCATCTGACAGGCAAATAGCAGCAAGCCCATCTGACAGGCAAATAGCAGCAAGCCCATCTGACAGGCAAAGAGCAGCAAGCCCATCTGACAGGCAAATAGCAGCAAGCCCATCTGACAGGCAAATAGCAGCAGGCCCATCTGGCAGGCAAATAGAAGCAAGCCCATCTGGCAGGCAAATAGCAGCAAGCCCATCTGACAGGCAAATAGCAGCAAGCCCATCTGACAGGCAAATAGCAGCAAGCCCATCTGACAGGCAAATAGCAGCAAGCCCATCTGACAGGCAAATAGCAGCAAGCACATCTGACAGGCAAATAGCAGCAAGCCCATCTGGCAGGCAAAGAGCAGCAAGCCCATCTGACAGGCAAATAGCAGCAAGCCCATCTGACAGGCAAATAGCAGCAAGCCCATCTGACAGGCAAATAGCAGCAAGCCCATCTGACAGGCAAATAGCAGCAAGCCCATCTGGCAGGCAAATAGCAGCAAGCCCATCTGACAGGCAAATAGCAGCAAGCCCATCTGACAGGCAAATAGCAGCAAGCGCATCTGACAGGCAAATAGCAGCAAGCCCATCTGACAGGCAAATAGCAGCAAGCCCATCTGGCAGGCAAATAGCAGCAAGCCCATCTGGCAGGCAAATAGCAGCAAGCCCATCTGACAGGCAAATAGCAGCCAGCCCATCTGACAGGCAAATAGCAGCAAGCCCATCTGGCAGGCAAATAGCAGCAAGCCCATCTGACAGGCAAATAGCAGCAAGCCCATCTGACAGGCAAATAGCAGCAAGCCCATCTGACAGGCAAAGAGCAGCAAGCCCATCTGACAGGCAAATAGCAGCAAGCCCATCTGACAGGCAAATAGCAGCAGGCCCATCTGGCAGGCAAATAGCAGCAAGCGCATCTGACAGGCAAATAGCAGCAAGCCCATCTGGCAGGCAAATAGCAGCAAGCGCATCTGACAGGCAAATAGCAGCAAGCCCATCTGGCAGGCAAATAGCAGCAAGCCCATCTGGCAGGCAAATAGCAGCAAGCCCATCTGACAGGCAAATAGCAGCAAGCCCATCTGACAGGCAAATAGCAGCAAGCCCATCTGGCAGGCAAATAGCAGCAAGCCCATCTGACAGGCAAATAGCAGCAAGCCCATCTGACAGGCAAATAGCAGCAAGCCCATCTGGCAGGCAAATAGCAGCAAGCCCATCTGACAGGCAAATAGCAGCAAGCCCATCTGACAGGCAAATAGCAGCAAGCCCATCTGGCAGGCAAATAGCAGCAAGCCCATCTGACAGGCAAATAGCAGCAAGCCCATCTGACAGGTAAATAGCAGCAAGCCCATCTGGCAGGCAAATAGCAGCAAGCCCATCTGACAGGCAAATAGCAGCAAGCCCATCTGAAAGGCAAATAGCAGCAAGCCCATCTGGCAGGCAAATAGCAGCAAGCCCATCTGGCAGGCAAATAGCAGCAAGCCCATCTGACAGGCAAATAGCAGCAAGCCCATCTGACAGGCAAATAGCAGCAAGCCCATCTGACAGGCAAATAGCAGCAAGCCCATCTGACAGGCAAATAGCAGCAAGCCCATCTGACAGGCAAAGAGCAGCAAGCCCATCTGACAGGCAAATAGCAGCAAGCCCATCTGACAGGCAAATAGCAGCAAGCCCATCTGACAGGCAAATAGCAGCAAGCGCATCTGACAGGCAAATAGCAGCAAGCCCATCTGACAGGCAAATAGCAGCAAGCCCATGTGACAGGCAAATAGCAGCAAGCCCATCTGACAGGCAAATAGCAGCAAGCCCATCTGACAGGCAAATAGCAGCAAGCCCATCTGACAGGCAAATAGCAGCAAGCCCATCTGACAGGCAAATAGCAGCAAGCCCATCTGACAGGCAAATAGCAGCAAGCCCATCTGGCAGGCAAATAGCAGCAAGCCCATCTGACAGGCAAATAGCAGCAAGCCCATCTGACAGGCAAATAGCAGCAAGCCCATCTGACAGGCAAATAGCAGCAAGCCCATCTGACAGGCAAATAGCAGCAAGCCCATCTGACAGGCAAATAGCAGCAAGCCCATCTGACAGGCAAATAGCAGCAAGCCCATCTGGCAGGCAAATAGCAGCAAGCCCATCTGACAGGCAAATAGCAGCAAGCCCATCTGGCAGGCAAATAGCAGCAAGCCCATCTGGCAGGCAAATAGCAGCAAGCCCATCTGACAGGCAAATAGCAGCAAGCCCATCTGACAGGCAAATAGCAGCAAGCCCATCTGACAGGCAAATAGCAGCAAGCCCATCTGACAGGCAAATAGCAGCAAGCCCATCTGACAGTGGCACACCTCCCAGTGGCACACCTCCCAGTGGCACACCTCCCAGTGGCACACCTCCCAGTGGCATACCTACCAGTGGCACACCTCCCAGTTGTAAACCTCCCAGTGGCACACCTCCCAGTGGCACACCTCCCAGTGGCACACCTCCCAGGGGCACACCTCCCAGTGGCACACCTCCCAGTGGCATACCTACCAGTGGCACACCTCCCAGTGGCACACCTCCCAGTGGCATACCTACCAGTGGCACACCTCCCAGTGGTAAACTTCCCAGTGGCACACCTCCCAGTGGCACACCTCCCAGTGGCACACCTCCCAGTGGCACACCTCCCAGTGGCACACCTCCCAGTGGCACACCTCCCAGTGGAGTCTCTAACTTGAAGTTCTGAACGCCCCAGTAGAGCACCCAGGGGTGACTTTTGAGTCGACTCAACAGTCGTCTCTAAATTGTTGTAGTTCTGAAATCCCAGGTAGAGCACCCAGGGTACGCCGGGGAGATGAGAGGGCTGCACTCTATGGTTCACTGCACTCTCTCGTACACACCTGAGGCGCGCTGGGCAGTGGTCTAGAGCCCAGCAGATGGTCGTTGTTCTGAAATCCCCAATATAACGCTTCGGGGTACGCCAGGGAGATGAACCCCCACGGACAGGCCCCCAAAGAACACTCTGAACGCTACACTGCACTCTCTCAGTCTCATACACACCTGTGGAGCGCTGGCCAATGGTGTGGAGCCGAGCAGGTCGTTGATGTTCTGACACCACAAATAGAGCACCTCCGGGCTCGCCAGGGAGATGACTCCCACGGACAGGCCGCCGATGGTAGGCAGCAGCGGAGGGGGGGCAGAGGGGAGAGGGGAGAGAGAGGGGAGAGAGAGGGGAGAGGGAGGGGAGAGGCAGGGGAGAGGGAGGGGGGATGGTGCAGACACACACACAGTGGCATACCTGTGGTGCACTCGCGAGTGGTCTGGAACCCAGGAGATCGTTGATGTTCTGAAAGCCCCAGTAGAGCACTTCAGGGTACGCCAGGGAGATGACTCCCACGGACAGCCCCCCGATGGCAGGCAGCAGCGCGGGGGGCAGGGGGGAGACGAGCAGGAGGCGGTCGAAGGCATGTGTAGCGAGGCGTGCAGAGCGGTTGAGAGCGATGGAGACTCCTCCACAGCACAGGCCGAGGAGAAGGTAGAGAGGCAGCTCTGGTGGGAGGGCATGGCAGCAAATTGGGGCGGCAGGCGGGAGAGCAGGAAAGGGTGATAGCGATGAGGCACCTTCGCAGCAAGGACTGAGGAGAGGGACAGCAAACAAGGGGGGGGGAGGGAGGGGAGGCAGAAGGGAGACGAGCAGGAGGCGGTGGATGGAATGTGTGTGTGGTGATGGGAGCAAAGCAGGTGAGAGCGATGGACACCCCCCTCTGCAGAGACCGAGGAGACGGTAGAATGGGTGGATGTGGCTGGGAAAGAGACTTGAGTGCACAGCACAGCACAGCACACCACATCACATGTCTACAAGAACTGGGAAACGGACCGCTCAGAACCATCTTCGTTCTTGCAAATGTGGCCGGGAAAGAGGCTTGAGTGCACCGCACACCACACCACACCACACCACACCACACCTCCTCTAAAAGAACTGAGAAAGGGAGCCTGCTACCCATGTTGCTCAAAACCGTTTTCGTATTTGCAAATGAGATAGAAGCCAGCTAGCTACCCATGTTGCAAGCAACTTACAGGTTGCTTTCAAGACATCCCCAAAGAAACCATTCTTTGAAACTTAGCGCTCACCTGGAGGCGGCCTGAAGAGCTCGTAAAGTGGGATTGATACTGCCGGGTCAGAGTGGAGGATCTACTGTGAGGCGACAGCAGCAAGGACAGAGGAGAGCAGCACCACGGCGGTGGTGAGGGAGAGGCAACCACCCTTGTAACTCACCCGGTGGCGTACCTTCTAGTGATCTGAACACTCACCTGCCGGCGATCTGAACTCGTAGAGGGGTATTTGAACTGCCGGGCTGGAGCCGAGGATTTGTTGCGAGACGACCGCAGCGAGGACGGATGAGAGGAGAACCTTGGCGGTGGTGAGGGAGGGGCAAGGACCTGGACAGTACCTTTGAGTGCAATGGACAAGTACCTGCGGGCGACCTGAACTCGTAGAGGGGTATCCGGACTGCCGGGTCGGAGCCGAGGATTTGCTGTGAGACGACAGCAGCCAGGACGGATGAGAGCAACACCATGGCGGTGGTGAGGGATGCTGGCGAGGAGGAGACGGAGGAGCGGAGAACCGATTCCAGGGCGAAGAAACAACCCGCCACTGCTGCGTTGAAACCTGTTACCAAGCAGACAAGGAAAGAGAGCAGGAAGTAGAGGAGAGCAGCACCATGGCGGTGGTGTGGGAGGAAGAGGAGGAGGAGAGGACTGATTCGAGTGCGACGAAGAAGCCCGCTACAGCTGCATTGAAAATTATTGCAGCGTGAAGGGAACGAAGGAGGGTTTTGGAAGAGATTTGGACTGGAAGAGAGTGAGACATTCTGCTTCCGCCATCGGACTGGGCGTGCTGCAGCTAGGAAGACACTTTAGCAGAACAGACACTTCTGCTGCCTGCACTCATCCTACTGCCCTCAGCTAACTAGCACACACAACACTTACCAGCAGAGATGCCAGCAGCGGAGCCAGCAGCCACCAGAGCTATCGTCCTTTCTCTTCCCCCCTGCACCGCCCTGCTCGCCCCCTTGCCAATGCTGGACCCTATCTCCACGCTCGGCCCCTCCGGCCCCAAGCTGTTGCCCGTGCCCAGCGTCACAGCCGCTGCGACCGCTTTCAGCACCGGCCGCACTGCCGCCACTAGATTCTGAGCTATGGATTGGCCGGCACGGGAGGAGAGAGAGAACCCGCCGCTGCTTCTGCCGCTGTCGCTGCTGCTGCTGTCGCTGCTGCTGTCATAGCCATGGGCAGCAGGGCTGCTGCTCCTGCGACTGCTGCTGCGATTGTTGCTGCTGCTGCCACCACGAGGAGTCTGGTTGAATGGAAGGTCTTTGATTTCTGACCTGACAGCGTTCAGGATGCCCACCACCACGCCGCCCGCCAGGGGCACGAAGATGTGCAGGTGCCACGTGGCGGCTGCTGACTGGCTGCGCAGCCACGTGGAGCCCTCCTCGGGCGGCACGCCCTGCCACACGGCGTCTCGGATGGCGTGCACCTGAACGGCGGGGTTGAGGGAAAGGGTTGGTAGGATTGGAGGCGGGAGGAAAAGCGGGAGGAAGGGCAGGGCGTTGGGAGGGGTGCAGGGAGTGGGAGCAGCGTGTAACGACCTGCTGTGCCCCTGGAGGGTTGCCAGCAGGGGGTGGCAGGGGGGGTGTTGCCAGGGGGGGTGTTGCCAGGGGGGGTGGCAGGGGGGGTGTTGCCAGGGGGGGCATGGCAGGGGGGGTGCTGCCAGGAGGGGGTGGCAGGGGGGTTGGCAGGGGTTGAGGGCGGTGGGAAGGCGGGAGGATAAGCAGGGGCATTGGAAGGGGTGCACGCAGTGGGAACACAGGTGGCACGCCCTGCCACACGGCGTCTCGGATGGCGCGCAACTGAGAGGAGGGGGTTGGGGGAATGGGTTGGCAGGGTGAGGCGGTGGGACGAGCGGGAGGAAAACCAGGGTCGCGAGAGGGGTGCAAGGAGTGGGAGCAGAGTGGCATGCTGGAGCCCTTTTTTGAGAATTCCAAAAATGCCACACGGCGTCTCGTATGGCCCGCACCTGAATGGCGGAGGAGCCTAGCAGCAAGAGGCGGGGCAATAAGTGGGGCACATGCACCGTTCTACACTCACTGCTTCGTTGAAGAGCGAGACGGAGGCGCCAGTGAGCAGCCCCGCTGCCCCGCGCACGCCGTGAGCAGCACCGCTGACTCTGGTGGCAGTGCTGCCGCGGCCACTATAGAGGCGATTGAAATGCGGGCGCAAGTGCACTCACAAGAACCATTACACTCACCCCTTCGTTAAAGAGAGACACAGAGGCGCCAGTGAGCAGCCCCACCGCGCACGCTGTGAGCAGCACCGCAGACTCTGGGGGCAGCGCTGCTCCCACCACTCGCCCCACCTCCCCCACCACCCGCCCTGTCCTCACCGCCACCGCATCCCGCCACTCCCCCCACTCCAGCCGCTCTGCCTCCCCCGTTGCTACTACTCCTGCTTCTTGCGGTGCTGCTGATCCCACCACTCGCCCCACCTTCCCCACCACCCGCCCTGCCCTCACCGCCACCGCATCCCGCCACTCTTCCCACTCCAGTCCCTCCGCCCCCCTGCTCGTTACCACCCCTGCTGCAGGTGCTGCTCCTGTTGCTGCCGCTGTTGCTAATGCAGGGGTTGCTGGAGTGGACTGTACTGCTCGTAATGGTCCTCCTGCTGTTGCCGTCCCCGTCCCCGCACCCAAACCCTCGCTCTCGTTTACGGAGCCACCTTCTTCTCCCGCCCCTGTTCCAGCCACATCTGCTGCAGGCCCATCGGCTGCTACAGCCGACAGGCGACGCTGGGCTACAGCCGTCGATCTCCTTCCAGCCACAGCCGCAGAAGACGTCGATCTGGTTCCAGCTGCATCGTTAGAGCTTCCGGTCCGCGCGGTTTCCGCTCCCCTCGCAGCGTCAGAGCTGAGTGTGCGGTGTGGGGGGTTGAATGTGTGGTGTGAGGGGCTAACGGGCCGAGAAACGGCAGAGGGAAGGCGAAGCAGACGGCGATAATGGGACTTAGGCCGGTGGGAACGCGAATGGGAATGAATGGTTTCGCGCAGAACGTGGGGGAAACGCGCGGAGGATTCGCCTGGGAAAATATGGCCGTTGCTTGTTGCTCGCGTGCGATGGTGAGTTACGGGCGAGAGGGCGGCAGAGGGATGCGGATTGACCCGCGAGGACACGGAGTGAGGCGGCATGGTTTGCAGTGAACGCCGAGGTGCGAAATAACTAAGGACCGGGAAAACAGCAGAAACCTCTATTGTCAGAGAGTGCGTTTCGGAGTTAGTTGTGGTGCGGTACCTCTATTCTCAGAGGTACTTGTTGCGGATCATGGTTTGCTATCCTCTTGGTGCAGCGTGTGCAAGAACCTCCTGTGTGACCCTGAGGTTCACACTGTCGGAGCTCAGGATGACCTAACCGCAAGTGGCCCTACCAGCAAGAGGTCCTAGTAGCAAATCTAGGAGTTCTAGCTTCGCAGCATTCTCCGCTTGCGCAGTCCTCTCGTAAAGGACTCCGAAACATAAAGCAAATCGCTAGCGTCGACCCTGTTGGGTAACCCGTTCACCTGTCACGCCTGCCGCCATTGCTAAGTTTGCCTTATTTGCAGCCTGTTGTCCCTACTGGAATTCGGATTGAAAATGCAAATGCAAATGCGTAACCTGCTTGGATTGTTGCAAATTCTGGAATGTGCAAATGCAGATTCCGAAATTCCAGCCTGGAATTCCAGCTGATCAGGACCTCCCCACAAAACCTAACCAGTGGCAGATCGTACGAGCCTCTTAACCACTCATAGGACGACCTTTCTGTACGTTCCCAGATAGCTGGTTCCACTCATGGTACACCACGTGCCAGAAAGATTGTGACTGACTGCAAGGGAAACCATAAACTGGGCTCCGCGTGGGCGGCTGGGTCACTTGAGTTGCAGCCTCGTGGACCGTGATTTTCCACGAGATCTCGACCACGCTGGCATCGCCCAACGCCACACAGTGCTTACGTCACTGGATCTTGCTGGTGACAGATGCACGTACAGCGGGTATTCCGTTACAGTATCTCCAAATCCGCGACTCGCAAATATGGAGTACACGTCATATGCCTTGTAGACGACTTCCTTTTACGCCCAGGAGTACTACATAGGCATTTTATCCTTAAGGGCCTCTCCTTGTACGCAAAGTGTACCTGTGTCATGTGAACAGAACTCATTACAGTCAATCGGCAACATTTTTCGAAAGCCAATCAGTGTTTTCGTGCGACGATTTTCAATGGCAGGCGATCTGACACTGGCTGTTTGTGTCAGAATCGTCAACCAATGCTCGGAGTCGAATCCACATCACTTTCTGGAAAATCCAACCACTAGATCAGCCATTTATGTTCCTCCACGTTTGCCCCACAAATTGTGTAATGTTTGTACAATTGGGGGCTTGTTTTATATCACTTATAAATTAATCCGGATGCGCAAACAGGATTGGTCACCGCTCTCGTCGATGTTCGCCTACCCCATACATTTGCGATTTTCTCAAATGTAAACGCCTTTTCCTTGTTCTTGATAGAGTGCGTTGAATATTGTGTGGAATCTAAAACTTTACCATGAACACTGAGTTGACGCGCATGCGACATGGTGAGCGAAACCTAATCGCAACAAACGCCAACACTGCCGACCATGAACAGTTCATAAAATACAAGCAAAAAACATTTTGCGACACGCCAGAGTCCCGTTTGCCCGAGCATATTCCATGTACGCGAAATCCCCTAAGTCGCCCCCCAGGCTCTCAGGGAATATGACATGTGCGACGAATAGTGGCGGTACGCAACGGGCAAACAGGATACAGGTCATATGCCTTGTAGACGACCCCTTTTACGCCCAGGAGTATTCCATAGGCAATTTATCCTTAAGGGCCACTCCTTGTACACAAAGTGTAGCTGTCTCAACTGAACAGTATATTCGACTGTCAATTCGGCTGATCCAAGGCCGTCCAATCAGTTTGCTCTTGTGTTTTCAGTTCAACCACACCTAGTGGTCGGCTAGCCTTTAAAAATCCAGATGTCTCAGGCTCGCCAACCAATGTCGAGGGAATAATCCACCCAATGCGCTAGATACGACCAGCTCGCTGACGGTCCAGTAGAATTACGCCTACAACGCCAACGGAATCCGTCGGCGTTGCCCCAGGAAAATCTGTCCACCCACATCCAATAGGAACGCGCCAAGGAATCAGACATTCTCTTGAAACGCGGAGTTGATATATAGGTGGAGAGGCTGGCGACGTGGCGATGTTTACTCAGTCGCTGCATACGCCAGTCAAGCCGCCCATGCATAGTACACAAAAAACAACGCCCCATTTCCTGGGGAAACCCCATAGTCCACGTTGCCCCTATCGTACGGCCAGTATTTGTTAAAAGGGAAATCTCTCGCGTCGCCCCTCCGGTGCTCACGGAATATGACATATAATAGAGTAGCACTAGGGATTTTAGGTGGGGTGGCGTAGGCCATTTTATTCGTTTTGTTCACGATGAGTGCCTTGGCGTATTGGCCACTTGGGCCAAGTTACCAGCGATTCCGCCGCGTGTCATGTGAGGGGTCATATGGCCTCTTAAAAAACGCTCAACGAATCTGTCGTCTGGTCAGAAACACGTGGACAAAAAAAGTCACACCTCGTTCTCGAACTTCCCGCAAGCAGCGCAGGCTCAAAACGCGCAAAACAAAATGGTGATTGAGGGAACAAGGGTCGTGTTTTCGTACTCGGGACGGTCCTGTTTGTGTCATGCGGGAAACCTAAATGTTTACGTGATTGGTTCGAAAAAATGGAAAACGCATCGAATGCTCTTGATACGAGGATTTGAATACGACCGTGATCGCAATACAGAATGGATAAAAATGTTTGCATAGTACATGTGCCTGCGTACATCGTGCTGGTTGTCCAACTAGCGATATTTTTATCGGCCGTTGTGTTAAAAGACTAGCTAGGAAGGAAGGGCGGCCATGAAATGGCGTGAGGGTTTAGGAGCTAGAAGCTACGAGAGTAAAGTTTGACGAGAGAAAAGAGAGTGAACTAGAAAGAGAGAGGGATACAAGGAGGGGATTGTACCCTCTACAGTAGAGTTCGATAACCTACCAAGCCTACAAATTATATAATACAATATATAATTTAACACACCCCCTAGGCTTGGTAGTGGCAAGCCCACACACACCCACACCCCCTAACCTAGCACCCCCATTCCAAGCATTAGCCACGACTACTCCGGTGGGGCCAACCCCCACGGCCCGTGAGATGGCAATGGCGATAGCGATGGCAGTAACGGCAGCGGCGGCGGCAACAAGCCAGCGGCGACAGCGGCGGCTCTGGCGGCTTGAGCGTCAAAGGCGACTGCAGCAGCCCCCGCCCTCTCGGCGGCATGGCCAACCTCCGCGGCTATGGGGTCCCCCACGAGTCAGGCGTCGGCTGTGGCGAGGAGGAGGGGACGCAGGGGAAGGAGGGGGTGGGGAGGGGGGGGAGTCTTCAGCGACGCGCAATGGATGGCGCGGCGCTTACTGGCGGGACGGCGAAACGGCGGTACAGACGCATGGCGGCACGGCGAAGCCGCCACGGCACCTAGACATGGCCGCCACGGTTAGACGTCGACGCCACGACGGCGCCCACGGCACGACACGACCAGCGGCCCGACGACGACGGTGCCGTCACGGCTGGACATCGACGCAATGACGGCGCGACGCCACAGCAGCGCGTTGAGACGGCCGCGGCACGACGCGGCCAGCAGAACGACGACGCCGCCACAGCAGCACGACGCGGCCGCCATGGTAGCGTGCGAGGGAGAAAAGGAGTGGGCGGCGGAAGCGTGGGGAGCAGGCCCGGGAAGGGAACCGGCTCTAATACCATATTAAAAGACTAGCTAGGAAGGAAGGGCAGCCATGAAATGGCGTGAGGGTTTAGGAGCTAGGAGCTAGGAGAGTAAAGTTTGACGAGAGAAAAGAGAGTGAACTAGAAAGAGAGAGGGATACAAGGAGGGAATTGTACCCTCTACAGTAGAGTTCGATAATCTACCAAGCCTACAAATTATATAACACAATATATAATTTAACACGTTGGGTCGCCATCTGGATTGTGACCCTAGTTTATTGCGACTGAGTGGCATACATGGCGGTATTGGATTTCGCGAAAATAATCTGCGACTTTCGTCCAGCCACTCTCAAATCGCAAGGAACCTCGTCAGAAATTTCATTGGCAGACGAGGCATTTTGCGATTTTGACCGTACGCACTACGTAGCTGTAAGCCGTACGATCGGAGTACAGCGTGCTGGATCCTACCGAATCATGGACGGTATGATAGTATCTGGACAAAAATGTCGAGGACTTAATGGCATATCCGCTGTACATGTTTTCGTTGTAGGGTGATAGTAGATTGTAGTGAATTAGTGATTCAGAGGTCACTCAGAAAACTCATGACTAGGTTTAAGTGTCAACTTATACATATGTTCTATGTAGAAGTTATAGGCTAGACTAGGTGTGTGCTTCTAGTGAGTACAACCCAACAAGTATATGTTCTAGGTTTCTCCTTCTAGTAATCATTCACGTATTCTAACATGGTATCGAGTAGGTTAGGTCCCCCCGCCCGCTTCCGCCCGCACCCTAGTCTCTTGCCCGCCCTTAGCCGGCCCCCTGGCCGTCGCGTCCGCCCCTAGTCGCCCCCCTGGCCGTCGCGTCCGCCCTTAGCCGGCCCCCTGGCCGTCGCGTCCGCCCCTAGTCGGGCCCCTGGCCATCGCGTTCGCCCCTAGCTGGCCCCCTGGCCGTCGCGTCCACCCCTAGTCGGCCCCCTGGCCGTCGCGTCTGCCCCTAGCCGGCCCCCTGGCCGTCGCGTTCGCCCCTAGTCGGCCCCCTGACCGTCGCGTCCGCCCCTAGTCGGCCCCCTGGCCGTCGCGTCCGCCCCTAGCCGGCCCCCTGGCCGTCGTGTTCGCCCCTAGCTGGCCCCCTGGCCGTCGCGTCCGCCCCTAGTTGGCCCCCTGGCCGTCGCGTTCGCCCCTCGCTGGCCCCCTGGCCGTCGCGTCCGCCCCTAGTCGGCCCCCTGGCCGTCGCGTCCGCCCCTAGCTGGCCCCCTGGCCGTCGCGTTCGCCCCTCGTCGGCCCCTTGACCGTCGCGTCCGCCCCTAGTCGGCCCCCTGGCCGCGCGTCCGCCCTCAGCTGGCCCCCTGGCCGTCGCGTCCGCCCCTAGTCGCCCCCCTGGCCGTCGCGTCCGCCCCTAGTCAACCCCCTGGCCGTCGCGTCCGCCCTCAGCTGGCCCCCTGGCCGTCGCGTCCGCCCCTAGTCGGCCCACTGGCCGTCGCGCCCGCCCCTAGCTGGCCCCACTGGCCGTCGCGCCCGCTCCTAGCTTGCCCCCTAGCCGTCGCGTCCGCCCTCAGTTGGCCCCCTGGCCGTTCGCTCCTAGCCGGCCCTCTGGCCGTTCGCGCCCGCCCCTAGCTGGCCCCACTGGCCGTCACGTCCGCTCCTGGCCGGCCCACTGACCGTCGAGCCCACTCCTAGCCGGCCCCAGCAGCACCTGCCCGGCCTCTTCCTAGCGCCGCCCGGCCTCTCCTACCGCCCGCCAATCCCAGTGCGCCCGCCCGGCCCCTCCTAGCGCCAGCCCGGCCCTGTCACG